CATATCTAATTTTCTCTTGCTGAATCTGTAGGTTGTTGACATTTTTGCCTGTAATCAGCTCCCAGTGCATATCAAATACTTCTTTAGGATTTGCCCCTAGAGTTGGAATTAATCTATTATGTATGGTGTGAGGTAGGGATTTATTTTTCCAAATGGACAGCCAGTCATCCTGCACTCTTGAAAAGCTCTCTTTCTTTCTCACTGTCATAGATCAAGTTTCCAAGGATTGGAAAGTGTATCTGTGGGCTCTTTGTTCCTTTCCATCTGTCCATTTGTCCTCATGCCAAAAGTGACATGGCTTTGGTTACTGTAGCTTTCAGGGTATTTTAAGTGGGTTAGGAATGTGTGTTTTATGGAGACAAGTATATCAGGAGGAAACAAGTATCAAACCTTATGCCACAGTATGGTAACGTGGACTTCTTGATTCAGAGAACTGAGGTCATGGGGCTTCAGGATTTGACCTTAAAGGAAGGGAAGGGCTTACAGGTCATGAAATAAAATGAATATCAAGAAATTCAGGAGGAATGAAATAGATAGACTCCTTGAATATTAGAACCAGAAGGGCCATTTTGAAGACACTAGGTGCTGTTCAGAGTAGTGAGTAGTTTGGCTTAGTGTTTAGTATGTGGAGTGAGAGAGACCCAGGTTTGATTTGCAATAAGATACTCAACCCCTCTGGATCTGAATTTCTCCATCTATAAAATGGAGTCAATAACGGTTTTCCTTCTGGATTGTGGAAATCCAGAAGGAATTTCCACAATCCAGTTCACTCTGCACTGAGTAAACTATAGGGGCTTAGCAGTTTCCTCATGCAGACTGAATAGCAGGTAACTGGTAGTTACTTGTTACTCTGTTTCCTTGACTTTAAAACTAGCTCCCCCCCATTTCACAATGCTGAAATTAGAACAGCCTTTACTATGGTTTGCTGTAGTGATTTGTTTTTTTCTCTCACATCACTGTTTAGAATGCAGGAAACAGTATTTTGTGGGCAAGAAAAGGGAGCCAGTATCTTTGGTGTCACCTGGCAGGCTGAGTTGGTCATCCTTGCTCATCTTTATTGTTAGTCCTAAAAGAAAGGAGAAAAACACCATCTTCACTTGGAATGGCGAAGGTGGGGGTGCTTTAAATGCCATAAGACACTGTAGGCAAACATTTCTTGCTGTGCAGATAAGTAGCTTCTAGATAGGAGAAGTTGAGGACTATGTAGAACTATAAATTCCCTCCGAGTAGCAAATGACACCCACCGGGTAGGATGTGGCAAAGACTATGATAGGTTCTGGAAACATTTAGTTTCTGCTCCTGGCTCTGCCACTGACTAAGCCGTCCATGCCCAAGTCTGGTAACCACTCTGAGCCTCTGCTTTCTTCTCTCAGTGGGGCTCATCCTAAATGCCCCCACTTATGTGTTCTGAGACCCAGGTGACTTAATACCTGTGCAGGCTTTGCCCCTGGATAAGCAGCCAGTGAGTTGGTGAAAGCTGTTAGTTATTGTTCCCCAGAGGCACACCTCTCCCCTCTTATCTCCTTGCTATAGCATTACTTATGGGAACTTTCTTATCCACTTGTCCCCTCACTGTTGATCCTGTCCACTCTTCAGATTCTATCTCTGATGTCGACTCTTTGCTCAGACTGTGTTTTTTACCTCCCTTCCTCCCTATTCCAGGTGAGTGTTGTCTATCTCTTAGAGGGATTTTTCAGATTCTGCTTTATATTAGTGTTTTTCTTGTACTATTTAATGCACCCCAGAATATTGCTAACCCTTTGAGAGCAGGAGTGTGTCTTTTGTAAACCCTCTAGTTCTAGCACAGAGCAGCACAGCAAAGAAGATAAAGTCATGTTCAAGCTTTTGCTGAGTACCTACTATATGCATCAGACAGTATGTGAGCAGAATAGTCTGTGCCTTCACAGAGCCCACCTTTCACGGCCCCACCCATGCCCCAAGATGACCTGGCCAAGTAGAGACATACCTGTGTGCTTCAGGTTGGTTTAGCTTTCACATTGCTCATTGGCTGATATCTGACCTTGAACAGTGGTCTTCTGGATGGTCCTGTGCTGTGTGAGAACAGAGCCTGGGGAGGCCACTGTGCTGGCACTGAGGCAGGCCTGGCAAGGGGGGCTGGCCGTCCGTCCTGCTTGAGGCCTGTGTCAGGGAGGTGCCATGTGGCTGGGAGGAGCTCTAGAGTGCAAGAGCGGGGGTTGAGGAAGGGATAGGGCCTGCGTCAAGTCTCTGCTGCTGGTAGAGGAGGCTGTGACCAGGGTCTAAAGCTCCACTTAATAAAGCTGCTCTGTGTGGAGCAGCAGGTGCCTCCTGCTGGGAGTAAGCTAAGCTTGCCCCGCAGAGCTCCGGGTCAGTGTCAATTGGGCCCTGGAGCCAAGTAATGACCACTTGGGCCTTGGGCCTCAAGCCAGAGTCTGTTACTTTCTTCCTTTGGGACGATGGAGGACAGTGGGAAAACCAGCTGGGGTGTGAGAGGCTCCATTTTATGCTGCTGTCAAGGGAGTGTTGGCTCAGGAGCCTGGCAATGGGTGTCACAAGTCTGGCTCTTTCAGAAAGTTAGAAGTGTTGGTTAGGTCAGCAAGACCCTGCTATGAGTTGCATCTTCTGAACTGGCAGATGGGCAGGACGAGAGTTTGGGGTTGGTGCCTCTTCCTTCTGACATGATGCGCCCAGGGTACTCCCCTGACCTGGGCCATGGTATGTTCATTAAGTGTTCACCAGTCCTATAAGACAGGCTGGTGAAAGCTGGGTGGAAGGCTCCACCCTCCTGAGAAGAAGGGAGTGCTAAGTGGGCATTCCCAGGCTTGGCCAGCAGCGTCGGCAGCGTGGTGGATGCTGGGGCGGTGAGCTCCCTGGTGCACGGCGCCATGTCTGTCTTGCCAGCCCCAGGTCCTAGCAGTGCACAGAATTTGGTACATAGCTGTTGCTCAGCAAGTATTTGGAATGAATGATTGAATTTCAAAAATTTTTTGTCATTCTTTTATTCATTGTGTATATTAGTTTCCTGTGACTGCTTTAACAAATTACTGCAAATAACTTAAAACAACGGAACTTTATTCTCCAACAGTTCTGGAGGGTAGAAGTTGGGAATCTGGCAGGCCATGCTTCTTCTGGGGACCTGAGGGGTGACTGGTCCTTGTCTCCTCCAGCCTTCGGCGGCTCCAGGAGAACCTGGCTTCCAGCTGCATCACGTGGGTCTCCACTCCCACATTCACAAGGCTCTTCTTTGTGTCTCCTCTGCGTGGCTCTTACAAGGACACTTGTCACTGGACTCAGGGACATTTGAGACAGTCCAGGATGATCTCCTTATCTCATGATTCTTAACTTAATTGCATCTGCAAAGATTCTTTTTCTTCCAAATATTGGGTAATACTCATGGGTTCTGAAGATTAGGGTATGGACCCACCTGGGGGTAGGGGCACCATTCAGTCCAATATAAGGTGGTCTTAGGCAGTCTTAGTATTTTTCTAATCATTTCTCTTTTAGTTATTTTAATATTAGTAGCCTATATTTAATATAGAATATATATATATATATATATTCATTATTCATTCATTCTAGATTTCACTTTTTCTCCATGACTTCAGGTTCAGAAAGTCTTTCCCTACTAAGTACCTGATAAGTAGTCAGTCATTCATGTTAAAATAAAACTTCAAAATTAACTCTTTTTTTTTAAAGAAGTATTTTATTTTATTTATCTTTAGAGGGGAAGGGAAGGAGAGAGGGAGAGAAACATCAATGTATGGTTGCCTTTCATGTGCCCCCTGCTGGGAACTGGCCTGCAGGGAACCAGTCTGCAACCCAGACATGTGCCCTGACTGGGAATCGAACCACGATTGTCTGGTTCGCAGGCCCGCGCTCAATCAAAATTAACTTTTAAATCCAGTGGTAACTTGTTTTGATGTCTGCTGTGAGATGAGGGTCTGCACTTTGAAAAAAATAGCTAATCTTTACATGTGGAAAGATCTAACAGACCTAGACACATAAACACAGACACAAAGAGCGGGGCACACCTGCTGAGCCTGGGGTGATGGGAGGAGGTGTGGGTCTGGCCACGGTCAGGCCGCTGGTGCCCCTGCCCCAGGGGCCTGGGGCTGGGTGCTCAGGGCCTTGCTGCACGGTTTTTGTCATTTCTTGTGAGTCTTTCATTGTTTTAAAACATTTTTTAAAACTGTCAGATTTGCCAATACCAGTTATTAAATAATTTATTCCATTATTTGTAAGACATCTTTTATTAAGTTGTGATACTTGCTAGGGTGTGTTAGAGTTGTGGTGAAACTTAAGTGACTTAGGAAAAAGGGACATGATTTGATACACGGTCTTTCCATTTGGAACCCTTGCATGTTCCATTTATTCAGACTCTGCTTTATCTTTCCAGTAAAATGTGTGTAGTTTATTCATAGATACTTATTGTTTGTTATAATAGATGAACCCCTTTTCATTTATATCCCCTAACCAGCTTATTCTGGTTACATGTCACCAAATAGAATCGCCACACCCTTTCAAATACATGAAATTCTTTTAACTTGGGAAAATGCTTTTCATTCTGCAATTAGAGACAATGTTTAACAGGCTTTTCTATTCATTTCATTAAACCTGCTCTCAGGAAGTGTATGGTCAGCTTAATATGAATTTAAGTAGCTGTGTTCTTCATCCAGGTGTATGGGACATTCTTTATGAAGAAATAATATGAAATTATGTTTCATAAATTTAATGCTAGTTAACTATGTTTTGTTGGATTCTATTTCTTTAAAAATTATAAGAGGTGCTGGTTCTCAAGGGTCCCATGGTATGTTCCCTTGGCCCAAACAGGCAGGGTGTGCAAATGGGGCTGTGTCCAGGCCAGAGGGTGATCGGAGCTGGACATGGGCTTCCTTCCCTGCTTCCTTCCTCAGCCGTGAGGCCTGGGTGGGCACTGAGGAGGTTGAGAAGACCTCTAGCTGGGGGAGCCCCTAATTGGAAAACACTCAGAAATGAGAAATGTACCATTAACCCTCCTCTAGGTCAGTCTTATGAAATTCGGCTGTTGGAGAATCGGAAGCTGGGAGACTTTCAAGATCTGAACACAAAGTTCGTTAAGGTAAGCATGTGGGGCACTCCCCCTGCCCAGGGTTGGTTGGGGCCTCAGCACCGGAATGTACTGTGGGGGTCAGGTGTGGCCTGGGAGCTCAAGGAAGGCTCTGGGGGGAGAGTAGGCTCCTGTTCCCTGCGGCATGCGTTCTGAGGGAACAAGGAGAGGTCGGTCGAAGCACTGGGAACTGGGTCCCTGGGCAGGGGGACCAGGCTTCTGTGCTTTAGCCTGGCTTTGCCACTTACTGAGCTTTTCTGAGCTTCTGTTCGCTCATCTGCACAGAAGGATTTATAAATCAGCCATGTGTATAAAGCACTTGGTAATCATGGACAAAAGGGCAGTCATCACTATTCTTGCTGTTAGTGTGAGTGGGGTTCTGTGAAGCAGCACACGGACTATGGAGCTGGGGTGGCAGTTCCAGGAAGAGTGGCCCTGAAGGGCAGGGGAGTGTGCTCTGGCTCAGTAAGTACAAGTGGGTTCCTCTTGAGTCCCTCCTGGCAGCCACACTCAGCTGTCGCCTGCCTGCCTCCCCTCCCAGAGCATCATCCGCGTGGTTTTCCATGACCGTCGGTTGCAGTATACAGAGCACCAGCAGCTGGAGGGCTGGCGGTGGAGCCGGCCTGGAGACCGGATCCTAGACATTGGTGAGTCTCTCTGCCAAGATAAGCCCAAGATGCTCCCGCATGTTGAAGTTCTTCCTGGACACCATCTGGATTGTGCAAGGCATCTTAGTGCACTCCTGCTTTGTGGGAAGCCCTGTAGGAGCTGGCAGGGGTGCATGTGCTGCCAGGCCTGCTCTCAGAGCGTCCCCGTTTGGTGGGAGAGACAGGCAGCTGGAAATCAAGGACCTGCTGTCAGGGAGTCCAGGGAAGGCTTTGCAGAAGGGTTTGCATTAAAGGATTTTGATAAGTGATGAAGTAAGGATGGGCATCACAGGTGGGCAGTGAAAATGGAATGGTGGGGCTCACGCAGGGGTCACAGCCCTTTATTCACAGCTGAGGCCAAGAGGATTCCGGAATTCAGAAGTTAGAATGACAGCAGGGCGTGGTGCACGGACCCATAGTGTGGGGACAGGCCTTCACAGGCACAGCAGTCTTCGTGCAGCAAGATAAAATGGCGTAAAGACTAAGTAGCTTCATGGCAATTCAAGTCAGGCTTTCTGCCAGAGGAGTTTTTATAAAACTCAGTGTCTGAACGTTTGGCGTTTCCAACGTAGTCAGAGAATTGGGCCCGTGAGGGGTCCCTCCTTCAGCACTGGGAGTGGCTGACAGTTGCACTTTGTGTGTGTGTACAGATATTCCGCTGTCTGTTGGCATCTTGGACCCCAGGGCCAGCCCGACCCAGCTCAACGCAGTCGAGTTTTTGTGGGACCCTTCTAAGAGAGCCTCTGCATTCATTCAGGTATGCGAGCAGGAGGTCGCTCTGTGGGAAGCCAGAGGTGGGGGGTCTGTTGTGCTGTTCCTCAGACCAGCCCTGCAGGTCTCCCGTTCTCTGTTGCAGGGAGGGAGGCCAAAGGGGGAGGAAGTGTGGAGTGTCACATAATCAGAGGTAGTTGGTCTTGGGGTTGGGAAAAGACTAGAATGTTTTGGAATCCTGTGTAGGGTTTGCTTATAAATATGTAAGCTTTTCATAAAATAAAGTATTTCCTAGCATATATAGTTTGAAGTTAAGAACTTTTCCATAAGAGTTTCTGTTAATAGATTAATTATTTAATGGTCAAGTCCCTGGTGTGGGTCCAGCCTTGGGGTAAATGTAGCAGATGGAGCCGGCTGAGGGTGTGGCCGCAGGCCGTGCTCCGAGGCTCTCCCTGCCTCTGTCCCTTCCTGTGGCCCCTTTGTGAGCATCTTGTTAGTCAGATACCGAATATGTAGCCTTTACCTCAGTGCCCATTCATAATAATCACTCAGTAGAAGGTACTGATCTTTTTTTCATAATTACAATATCTTTGTTATATTTTAAAACTATCATTACAATATGTTGTATTACTATTAACACGGTATTATAATAATAAGTGTACACCAAGTGCCTTCTGTGCAGCAAGAACTTTAATGCAAAAATGGCTCCAGTCTCCTCCTCTGGCCTGGCCCAAGGGCCCTGGATGCCAGGCTGTGTGGCACGGAGCCATGGCCCCCTTGCAGTCTTTAGCATTTGCAAGGGTGAGAAGTGAGGGTGGGGCCCTTGGGAGTCAGTGGGCCTGGAGCAGTGGCAAGGCGTTAGCTGGTCAGGTGGGGCCTCTGAAGTCAAGGGACAAAGGTGGGAGGGTGTGTCATTTGTGGACAGGTGAAGGGGATCCCATCTGCTCAACAGTGGGTAGCAACGGGGAGAGCAGGGCGGTTGGCCAGGCAGGATGGGAGCCTCCCTGGGGAGAGGAGCCCGCCCTTGCCCTCTCCTCGCTGCCAGCCCCATGTTTCCCCTTCCAGGTGCACTGTATCAGCACAGAGTTCACACCAAGGAAGCACGGGGGCGAGAAGGGAGTGCCTTTCCGAGTGCAGATTGATACATTTAAGCAGAGTGAGAATGGGGAGTACACCGAGCACCTGCACTCTGCCAGCTGCCAGATCAAGGTGTTCAAGGTAGGGTGGCCACACCACGTCCGCCAGCAGTCCGTGTGCATGGGTATGCCTGCACTCCCCCACCTGCATGGCGACACACAAACGTTCTCACAGTTCCACATGGGGGCCCAGCAGGGAGCTGGGTGTCCCTGCAGCCGGGGTCTGCCTGTGCTCCCGCATGTGCTGGCCTGTTGGGCCTGCCACCGTGGCACCCTCCTCATCTTTCATCGTCCCACATGTCAGTGCACATCTCTACTGTGTAAGAATGATAGGAGTTGCACATTTTTAAATTCTGTTTTCCTACCAAGAAAACACTTGGACTTTCCTCACAAGGAAAGACAGGGACTGTGCTGTTTGTTTCCCTAGCACCTGCGGAGCTGGTGCACAGTGAGTGCTTGGCAGTGATGTGAAGAACGCACCAATCCCAGTAGCTTTAGGAGAAACAGAGCCAGAGCAGCAGGCTCCACAGGGAGGAGACCAGCCAGCCAGGCTGCTGGCGCATCCACACTTCCGGATCTGGTGCCACATGCCACGGCCATGGGCACGGACTCCAGGCCTGGCTGGGCTGTCAGCGATGTCACCTGCATGGGAGGGCGAGGTGTGGAAGAAGTGTGGGTTTGTCTTTCCTGCCAGAGAGGCAGCCCTCTTCAGAAACCTGCTTGAGGCTTTGAAAGCCTTGAAGTTGGCCTCTAAAGGAAGCTGAGCTTTCCCCACCCTGTCTGTCTGTCTTCTGTTGCTGCTGCAACAAATTACCACATGTTTAGTGGCTCAAAACTATTGACATTTATTGTCTTTCAGTGGTGGAGGTCAGAAATCTGAAATGGGTCTCCTTGGGCTAATGTCAAGGTGTTAGCAGGCTGTGTTCCTCCTGGAGGCTCTGGGGGAGAAGCCTTCCTGGCCTTTCCAGCTTCTCCAGCCTCTGCATTCCTTGGCCCTAGGCCCCTCCCCCATTTCCAGAGCCAGTGAGAGGGTGCTAGTTCTCACACCGTGTCACTCTGACTTCCTGTTCTCCCTCCCTTTTCCACTTTCAAGGGCCCTGTGGTTACATTGGGCACCCCCCCGGGATAATCCCGGATCATCTTCCTATTTTAATCTCACACTATTAGCACTCTCAATTCCATGCAAGCATACCCCTTCTGACATACTTACGGGTGCTGGGGATGAGGACAAGTTCTTGGCAGACCAAGGTGCAGTGGGTATTGTAGCCTCAGGTCTTACCGCCTGCTCCACGGGCTCGAGTTCTGGTTCGCTGAGGGCATCTCCATAAGTGCACTGCTGGTGGTCTTTCTCTGGGCTCCAGTCACACCTCTTGCCCTTCATATACATACTACATCTGCCCTTAGATGGTTAATGTCCTCGCCCAGGGCCGTCCAGTGTAATCCATGGCTCTCGCAGTGTGTGCCCTGCAGCTGAGACTATGCTGGGTAGTAAGAGAGAGGAACGAGGTGGGGCCTCTCTGCCCTGGGAGCACCCCGTCCTTCCCATGGTCCCCACTCACTCCCCTTTCTGCATCTTGAGGCAGAAGCTCAGCCGTGAGGGCCCTGTCCACGGCTCCTTGACCATGCACCAGGTGTAATTTCAGGAACTGGGCCAGAAGCTGCCGTGTCTGAGTGACCCAGGAACAGTCTTGGCCTCTCCTGCAGGGGAGTAGGAGCCCCTATCACCAAAAACTGGCTCCTCAGAAGGCCGGAGGAGGCACGGCACCTACCCACCTGTGCCCATTCACAGAAGCAGTTCGAACAGGTGTTTACAAGTGCCAGGAGGGGTCTAGCCAAACCTTCCACCACTCATCCACCCCTGGTCATCTCAGTTCCTGGGAAGCCCCCCTGCTTCTTGGAATCATGCCCTGAGGCTCTGTGTGGGATAACAAGGCCTCTGAAAGGGAAGATAGGGCCCCTTTCTGACTGGCCAGCCCCCTGTGGGTATCACTGGGGCTGAGTCCCATCCTCCTTGACACAGGCTCAAACCTGCAGTGATGTCACCTTGCTTTGTGTCTTCTGGACGTCTTCTCAGGAACTGGTATATGGAGATGAAGCGGGTGATAGGTGTTCGGTGGCCACATGCCTGACTCTCCCACTGACCACTGGATCTGCCATTTATGTCCCCCCGTGACCCTCCTGCAAAGCCACCTCTCTTCAGCATGGGCATTACTCGGACCACTGTTCCCTAAAATCCCTTGGGCCGGTGTACCTGAGGAAGGTGTACACCGGAGAAAACCCTCGAAGGTGCCACTGAGCTTGGGAATGAATTTTGTTTACTGACTGCCCACCATGCGTGGTCTGCTGTGCACATAGTAACTGCCCTGTCCTGGGCTGCCAGGGGTCTTGGTAGCTGACCTCATCAAGCCCACTGTGAACACCTAGGAGGTAAGAGTCCTGAAGGTCCTTGTCAGCCAGCCTGCTGAGGGGCCAGCCTGGTGGTGGCACATACCTGGGCTCTTCGCATCAGGACTTTCAGCTTGGTCAGCACTTGCTTCTTATAGTCTTAATGGAACACTTGAGCCTGAGTGTCCTCACCTATAAATGGGGGGAATAACGTACCTGTGAGGTGTGGACACTGGTGAGTTCCTCAGGCTTACTAGCACCCAGGACAGGCTCTCTTAGGGCAGAGGTCCTACCCTGCATGTGGAGTATGAACCTCGAGTGGCAGGAGCCCTGGGGCCAGGCATGGAGGCCTTCACAATATGTCTGGGAACTCCCAGCCTGAACGGGCAGGCCTAACTCTGACCAGCAGCCCCTAACTCTTCCTATTCCCTTCATTCTCCACAGGGGACCCTAGGGGTGCATTTGGATTTGTCATGACTCCTAAGGGTTCCCTTCTATGCACAAGTGGCCATGGGTGAAGATCTTTTCCAGGCATTTCCCCACGAGCAGCCTAGTGGCAGGACTACTGCCTTAAAGAAGGGAAGGGTGCCAGGAAGGACTGTGTATCTGATGTCTGGAAAGTGAGAGAGATGCTGTCCTGTTTGCAAGAGCCTGCCTGGGCTCTTGCAGGCTTTGGGGGCCACTGCTTAGCCCTGGGTCTTTGGGGAAAGACCCAAAGACAGCCACCTCTGCCTGTTTTTTACTAATTGGACCGCTGTGCTTTGCATTTGTAGCCAAAGGGAGCAGACCGGAAACAAAAGACCGACCGGGAGAAGATGGAGAAGAGAACCGCCCAGGAGAAGGAGAAGTACCAGCCGTCCTATGAAACCACCATTCTCACTGAGGTGAGCTGCCTAGGGTGCTGTGTGACTAGATTTTTGGGAGATTGCCCACCTGGGTGAATGTTTTTTTTGAGAGCACCCATTAGATGGTGGTGTGCTCTTGGGTGTGGAGTTGTGTTCCTCTGATAAGGCCCCTTGGCCAGGAAGGCCTTTCAGAGATAACTGAAAGCGTTTGCACTTTTCAAAATCAGCACTTTTTAAAAAAATAGGTAATAGGTCCAAAATTCAAAAGGTATAAGAGAATGTACATTAGAAAATATCTCTCCCGGTACTTTTCCAGTCTCGCGGTCTCTCTCCCCAGGGCAGCCAGCATCTCTGGTTCCTCCCGTATCTGACCTGACTTTCTCTGCCAGTGAATCCAACTCGCCCATGTCCTTACACCAACAGCACACACAGACACACTGTTCTGCAATTTGCTTTTATTATTTAATAGCGTATCTTGGCAACTCTTCCCTTTCTGTTCATAAAGTGCTTTCTAGTTTTTTATCCACCCACATTGTCTTTGCCATGTGGTGGACATTTGGTTGTTTCCAGCTCTTGACTTTTTACATGGGTGTGGGAGAAGTTCTGCATGTGGGTAACAGGTCTGCAGGCTTCCATTCTTAAAGTGGGATTGTGGGTCAGAGGGTGTGAGCACTTGCTGTTTTGTCGTTTGGGTGGATATCAGAACATGTTTTCTCTTAACCCTGATGCTAGTCCCATACTGCTCCAATCCTCCTGTTCAGAGTACTCTGAGATGTTCACTGTCTCTGGCCTGCTCTCCTCCTGTCACAGGTTGCTGCTGGTGCCACCTCTATTCTTACTGTGCCCTATCTCTTTTTTTTAAACAATGTCCCCTGCTGCGTTCTGCTGTCAGGCCAGCTCGTACATGTTGGTGTGTGTTCACCACATAACTTGACTTACTCAGAAGGCCCCCTGCAGATCCGTAGGGCTCAGCAGGGCCATGCTGGGGTTAGGGCAGTGTTTCAGGTGAGGCCAGGCACAGAGCGTCTTAGAGGACAGTGGCCTGGTCCTGGCTGACAGGCTGTGTGTGGGTGTGGGTGTTGTTTTATCTGAGGGTAAGAGCAGCCAGAGAATCCTGTCCCCACCCCACCCCACCCCACCGCACCCCCAACCCAGTGCTAGATCAGAGCTCAGAGCAGAGGGTATTTTCCAAGGCCTAGATCCTGCCTGTGCTGCTTGCGGCCCCTCCACCCCCGACTGCCCTCTATGCTCTCCTCGTCCTTCCCAGGCCGAGCCTCACTCAGCTTGTCCACCCCAGCTCTTCGTGACTCCCTCAGTGGAGGAAAGGCATGTGTGCTCATGTAAGGGCTGTCCGGGCGCCGTCAGTGCACGGCGTGGTTGGTTGAATCGCCCACCTGGCCCCATGACCTTGTGAGGTGATGGCTCCCCTTGTATTGCCCATCAGTTCTGTTCCTCTGGGTTTTACACCAACAGATTCCAGCCCACACTCACACCAGAGGTAAACATTTCCCAACCCCGTGTTTGTGGGCGACAGACAGTAGGTCTTTAGGAATGCTTTCTGTGGGCCCTCTCTGAAGATGTGCCATTGCAGGGAAGGCAGGAAGTGAGCGCTCTGTCCCCTGACCTCCCAGGAGGCCAGGCCTGTGTCTGCTTCCTTTGGGCTACTCGAGCATGGGCCATCTTCGGATCGGCACAGGAAGTTCTTTGAAGTTGTGGGTGACATCTTCTTGTCTTGTGCCTCCCTTAGCTCCTAGAGGATACCTGCCACGTCCTGAGTACTCACTGGACTGTGTTGCAGAGTGGCCGCTCTTGGCAGATGTGAAAGGCCGTCAGTAGGTTCTTTTTCAAAATAGCTCAGGTTTTAATACTGGCCTTTACTGATGATTTTTTGTTTGGATGTTGTCTGTGGTCCCCTGCTCCCTACTTCATACGTTCACACCCATTTTTCTGCACCAGGAAAATCTGCTTGTGGGCAGTTTCCCCATTCTGTTTTCCTCTGTTTTCTTGTGGGCCAGGAATCATGTGATTGACGATGTTTCCCTCTTTGGTGTGACTACTAGGAAGCTCACAGAGAGTGTTCCACTTGGCTTGCTCTGAGGATGGCCTGTGGAGCGTTTGGTCTCTGCTGCTGTATTTGATTCTTTGGTGTGGCCCCAGTAATCTGCCTGTCCTGGCTCATGTGGCCATTAAGTAAATGCAGGTTCGGTGTGGAAGGGACAGCAGCTTTCCACGTCAGCTTTGGTGGATGCTTGCTTGGTGCAGCCCTCGGTGCCTGGGATCAGCACCTCAGCATGTCCAGCTCCCTCCAAGAGCCCCTGCCCTCGGGTCATCGCTGCCCTTTGCTCTCTTCCCACAGTGTTCTCCGTGGCCCGACGTGGCCTACCAGGTAAACAGCGCCCCGTCCCCCAGCTACAACGGCTCTCCAAACAGCTTCGGCCTTGGCGAAGGGTATGTGTCACCTTTTCCATGTGGACTCTGGAATGACGATGGGTGTGGGCTCCTTCCCTGGTCTTCCTCTCCGTGTCTTCTCTCCTTTTGTAGCCCGGCATCGATTCGGGTTTCGGGGCAGCTAACTGGTATTGCATTCACAACTATTTTTATCCTTTTTACAGGTTTTTGTGCTCAGACTTCTATAAATGTTGTCTGATAGGGCAGCAACTGAGAGCCCACTTTAACCCTCTTCCTCCAGCAGAGGCAGAAGCTGGCCCACCGGGCCCTGGGTCGGTGTTGTGAGATGGCCTCTGGGCACCCCCAGGCAGAGCGACCTGCCTCCGAGGCAGTGTGGCCTGGGGAGGGAGCTGCTTGGGTAGACAGTGGGTTTCAGAGCTTGGAACCCAGAAGAGGTCCCCCTGTCAGTCACCCAGCCCTGTGGCCACACTGGCTGTCCTGACTCCAGGGCGATGGGAGTGCTGAGCTGGTGGGCAGCTGCCCCGCTCGTCCCAGGCTGCACGTTGCAGGGCCTGCAGCATCACTGTGGTGGCTCTGCATGTCCTGCTCACGGGGACAGGGGAGGCAGGGAGAATGCTGGGCAGGTTTAACAGATGAGTGTGTGGGCTCCTCAAAGCCCGTGCTTGGCAGACAGAGAACTCAGCTAATGGACATGCACTCAATTTACTGGGTGTTACCCTGAGAGGCAGGTGACAGCAGAGGTGTACGTTTAAATTCAGGCAGACCTAGCCATAGGTCTGTACCTTTGGGGGAATAAGTTCCTTAACCATGCTCAGCCTCAGTTTCCCCACTATAAAGGGTGTAAGAATTTCCTGCAGGGCCCTGGAATGTGTGCAAAGTACCTGGCATTTTGCACCTATACCTGAGGAAGTGTAGCTGTTAGGGCCATCCCTGCGAGGGTCCTCTTGTTTCTCACTGTGGCAAAACAGATGTAATATAAAACTTGCTGTCGTAACATTTTAAGAGTATAGTTCAGCGACACAAAGTAGTTCAGGTTGTACCATTGTTACAGAACAGACCCAAGGGGAAGTGCACGATATACTATTGCCAGAAGAACCCCCCATTAGGTTTGCTATGTTCACTGCCAGAGGAAAAATGTCTGTCCATGCCAGAGATTTGTGAAAAGGAAAGGAAATGTTTATTTAAAGCTATACAGACTTAGAGTAATGACTTAATGTCTTCATTAAAATATCAAAGTCCTTTCGAATACCCACAGACACATATATCCCTAGTCTGGGGTACCGTATCTCAGGAGAAGAAGCAGAAGTTTGTGATTCAGGCTCCCAGCACCATCAGCTGTGTTGCTGCCGGGATCTCCAGTTAATCCAAAGCCATGCGGCATCTTCTCCTGGCCCACCAGCAAGAGTTCTTTTGCCCCTTTTCTTCCAGGCAAAGTCTCTCCTGCTTCCTAAGCCACGGGGCAAAAGGGAGCACCCCAAAGCCATGTGGTTCTCTCTCTCACCAAAGCTGTAGGCTTTGTGAGAGAAAGCAGCTTTTTTTAACTGAGGGTCCCCACTCTGCCAAAGCCGTGTGGTTCTCCCTCCAATGGCTGCTGCATCTGGGTTTCAATCCCGGCACCAATCTTCCTCTGCAGCCCCATTTCCGACTCCTCCTACAATCAGTGACACCTGCCAGCATTCCTGTGTCCTTCCAGCTTTACTGGCCCCTCCTCAGGCTGAGGCTGGGCTGGGAACTCCAAGGGGGAGGGAACTCTGACTGAAAGGAGCCCCAAGGCTGGGATGGGGGACTCATTGCTGGCTGGAACAGTATAGCTCATCTGTCCACACCAAAGAGCTCATTAGGGATTGGACAGTGGCTCCTGCCCTTTTCCCTCTGACTCAGGAAAATTCTCATTCAAAAAAAGCCTCTGAGCTGAGGGGAGTAGGAACAGCAGGCAGGGGAGAAGACCCTCAAGAGCCCTGTAGGGGCACATTCTCATGGCTCTCATTGCCTGTTCTTTGCAGGAACAGCTCGCCAACCCACTCCCACCCAGTGGAGGCCCTGCCTGTGGGCAGTGACGTAAGTGTCTGTGTGGGTGCTCCGGCTGCCTGTCCCACGGTGTCGATGCCGAGCAGCCATCTCAAGGCCCCCTCTCTCTGTCCGCAGCACCTGCTCCCGTCAGCCTCCACCCAGGATGCCCAGCAGTGGCTCCACCGCAACAGGTTCTCGCAGTTCTGCCGGCTGTTTGCCAGCTTCTCAGGTGAGCATCTCCAGACCCACAGGGATCTTGCAAACACCAACAAGGCCACTTACCTTCCAGGACTTGCCCTTGGTGCCTGTGGGGCTGTGGTTTTGTCCTGGGGGCCCCGAGTAGTGTGAGTCACTCACTCACACTTGCTGACCTGTGCCAAGTGCTAAGAATTGGAGTCCTGTCCCTAGAACTTTCTGGTCAAGTGCAGCTTTAAGGCAGGATCATCTGGACACCTTAATCAAGCCTTCCTGGGTAGGGCCCCTAAGCCAAGCAGGCCACTACGTGCTCACAAGCCTCCCTGGCACTTGTCCTACCAAAATGCTGCTCATTGCATGGTGTCCAGGGCCACGGCCTGGAAGATGGAGGGAGGTGAAGCCACTGGCGAGAAGGGAAGGCTGGTTCTTCCTTCTTTAAAAGGTTTTTAAAGTCTTTACTGTGGGGTCCATCAGGCAGAAGCCCTGAGCTCGGGGCTCTGGGGGTAAAAGGATGAACTGAGCATCGAGCCTTGCTGCCAGGCAGAGTCAGTCCAGAGAGACAGGGACCAAACCAGAAGGGTGGCTCTCTAGGACATCTCTGGCAGGGGGAGGAAAGCACCCAGTTGTCTTTCAGCTCAGCTTTTCCAAGAACTTCTTTGTGTTGGGGGGAGGGATAAGAGATCCAAGCAGGGACCCTGTCCTCAAGGAGCTTTCGGTTTTGAGTCAGCACAGACACATAAACCAGGCATTTCAATAGAGTGTGACCCATCTGTGATAGGAGGGCTCAGAGAGGGACCTGACTTATCCTGGGTGGAGGGATGGGGGATGGCTGGCTGTGGTCTCAAATTAGGGTGGTCAGCAGGGGCCTTACTGAGAAGCAGTAAGCTGGAACAAGGTAAGAGAGTAGGCCAAGTGGGTACTGGAGGACCAGGGTGGAGGGGTTTGCTTCCCAAGCAGAGTGAAAGAGCAAAGGCTGCAAGGCGGATGCCTGCCTGGTGTGGTCATGGAGCAGAGGGCCCAGGAGACTGGGACTGAGTGAACTGGGGCAGGGGGAGCATGGAGAGGACTGGGGGGGCCTGGTGTGACAGTGGAAGGGCTTTGGCCTTTACTCCCAATGGAAAGGGAGCCATTGTGCCTATGGAATTGTACCTGAAACTGTATTAACTGTGGCAGGAGAAAAAGGATGGGATTTGTGGCTCTGGGCCACATGGCTATTGGCAGGTTTTTAGCAGAAGGCTGATATCCTGCATGTACCTTCAGGGAGTCCAAGTGGTCACAGGCTTTAGGGGACTCCTTGGCCTATCAGGAGGGGACTGCATTCACCTCCGAGAATGTTCATAGAGAGCTATTCATAATAGCCTGGCTGGGAGCCCCCCTGATGCCCATCAGCATAGAGAGGCTGTGTGAATTGTGGCATATTCATGCAGTAAATAACATTTAGTAATGGGTGTGAAGGGTCTGTAACTACATACAGTAGCTGTAAGCCCTTAAATAGAACTTAGAGGGTGAAAGCCAGACATGAAAGGGTATATACCATTCAATTCCATTTACATAAACTTCAAAAAAACAAGCAAAACTCATCTATACTGTAGGAAGTCAGGACAGTGGTTCCCCAGAGGCTGACACAAGGGGCCCGTGGGATGTTGGGAATGTGCTTCCCTGATCTGTGTGCTGGGTGCATGGGCGTGTTCAGAATGACTGCAGCCAGTGAGCTGTGCACTCTGCATGCAGGCAAGTGTACAAGTGATCGATGCCACATGCCCATAGAGGTGCATATATATTATATGTCAATAATACAAAGTACAGAGGGAGGGACAAGCAGGCACAGGCTGCTGTAACACCTGTGTGTGCTGCTGTGTTTTGTGAATGCCAGTCATTTAGTGTTTGACATCTCTGGGGCTGTGATCTGATGCTGTTTGACTCTTTGTTGCTTCTCTCTCCATGAAATGTTTGATTCCCCCTGAGGGTGGGCCTGCCCTCCCCCTTCCCCTGTACCCTCACCCCCATGCAGGGTCTGCAGGTGTTTGGTGATGGAGATTTTTCTCTGTGTCCCACTTAACGGGCAGTCCCACTTACCTGCCTAGGTGCTGACTTGCTGAAGATGTCTCGAGATGATTTGGTCCAGATCTGCGGCCCTGCAGATGGAATCCGGCTTTTTAATGCCATCAAAGGCAGGTGGGTATCATTTTCCAAGTTGGAGGCAGGGTGTGGCAGGAAGCCAACCATGGGGCCCTCTGGGGCAGATGCAGGAGGAGAGGTGGTGAGGGGGGCACAGGCTGGGCTGCAGCATGGGAGTGAGAGGCCGTGACTGCTGCAGGCTGCTGCTGCAGCACACCCTGCCTGAAGGCCACTCCTTCTTCTTGCTTTTCTGTGAGCCTTGGCCTCTGGATCTCAGTCCTTCAGCCATAGGTTGTCAGATGCTGGCATGGTCTGAGGCTTCAACCTGCCTCCTCCTGGAGGGAAGCTGTGGGCTGGTGAGGCCACTCAGCCTCATGCAGTGGTTTTTGGGGATGACCGTAGAACAGCACTGTGTCCTGATGGCGCTCCCTGCCATGATGGGAATGCTCTGTGAGGCTCTGTTCAGTGCAGCAGCCCTGCTGCGTGTGGCTGGGGAGCAGCTGCTCTGAGGCTCCTGTGACTGATAAACTGACTTTTAAATTTTAACTAACTAATGAATTTAAATTCTAATAACTGCACATGAACAGCATGGCTTCAGAGTGAATGAGAGCCTGGGTGTGAATCCCAGATCTGCCTCAAAGGAGCTTTGGAACTGGGCAAAAGCTCTTAACCCCCACAAGCCTCAGTTTTCTTATCAGTAGATTGAATATGGAGGTCCTCGCTCCCTTATAGGTGATGTGAGGATGAAACAAGTTATGCATGTAAAGTTCTAGAATGTTGCCTGGTGCAGAGTAAGCTAGAGAAAGTATTTGCTTTTATGACCCTAAAAAATACCTCATTTTTCAGATCCCTGTTCTTGGTAGACAACCCTCTGCCACCCTGCTGCCTTGGCAGGTCAGTCTGTCTGGGGTTCTGCTCCCAGCCAGACTGTGGGAGGCATTCAACATCCCCACATCCACCCTGAGTTCTGGAACATTCTGGAACAACAGAGCTTGGTCTCCCATACCTGCTGTTTATTTCCTTCCCGCCTGCCAGGAACGTGAGGCCGAAGATGACTATTTATGTCTGTCAGGAGGTGGAGCAGAACCGAGTGCCCCTGCAGCAGAAGCGGGACGGTGGTGGGGACAACAGCAGCCTGTGTGGTGAGTGGTGAGGGGCTGCCCCACCAGGGCTACAGGGCGACAAAGCAATGGGAGAAACAGCCGGCCTTCTCACTGAGGACGCTTTTCCAACCTATCTCGGGTGAAGTTTGTGCTAGCCTTTATCCTGGGGTTGAAATGTTTAAGGTGGAGGCATCCTGCAGGATAGCTGGGGAAGCTCACTTATTTTATATCCAGGGAAACAGAGGCCCAGAGACTGGGTGTGTCCCCCAAAGCCACTGAGCTGCTCATGGTAGAATTAGGAGTCGGGCCTTCTGGCTCCCAGTCCAGTGGCCCCTGATGGCTGTCATCTGGGGAGTGCTTCCTCCTGTGATTTCTCGTGGCCGGATATGTGTTTCTCACTTTGGTTTGGTTGCTGCTTGAGGCTAAGGAGCACAGCTGAAGGGGTTTGGAGCCCCTCGGGGGCATGGGACTTCTGTGGCTTGGCAGTTTTGAGAGAGAACACAACTTTGAGGCCAGCTGTCTCTGCATACCAGTGCTGGCCATGCCACCCAGTGGCTCTGTCCTTGGGCACCAGGGCCTCTGCATCAGCTTCCACGTGTGTATAGTGAAGACAGCAGCGCATACCCCACAGATGTTTCAATACCTCATTTCAATATGTCATCTCATTTCAGTGAGGTGATGTATTGCTTCTGAGCTCCTTGCTTTTGCTACTGCTGCTTTTTAAAAAACAACCCCTCTTTTATTTCTCTTAACTACTTTTATAATTTCATAGAAGAGTACTATGTCACCTGGATGCAACAAATGTTTTCATTGTCCTTCCCTCATATTAATTAGAGAACACAATGTAGAAGGAATATGTTGGAGAGGCATTATTTTGTTATCTGACTTTGATGTCTTGCCTTATTTAAAAATATGGAATGCTTCATGAATTTGCATGTCATCCTTGCACAGGGGCCATGCTAACCGTCTCCGTATCGTTCCAATTTGAGTGTATGTGCTGCCGGAGTGAGCACTGTGCTCCTTGCTTCCAAGCACCGGTGAGTGCTGAGCGTCTGCTGAGCTACCAGTCTCGACTTGCACAGTCAGTGCTCAGTATTCTCTGCAGAGAGAGCCCTGTCTGCCTCCTTGCAGGTCCCTCCGTACCAGCAAGGATGCCCAATAAGTCCCTTGTCTTAAGGATTTCCCTTGTAGTCATTTATTCGCTTTGTGTGTTAGGAACTGTTGCTAGCACTGTTTCACTGTGGGGGAAATTGAGGCATAGTTGACCGACCCCAGATGACAGCATTGAAGTTGCAGAGCCAGGGTCCAAACATCAGGACCCCGGCAGCTGGCCTCTGAGCCCTCGGCCGCCTTTGCACATTTCTGGTGAAAGTCTAGGTCCTCCCCCTGCTCTTCAGCTTAGTGAGGCTGCAAAGCCCAGAGCCCGAAGGTCATGGTTTTCCACACACTTGGAAAGGGCTGTTTAGTGCATGAACTTGCTCAGGGCAGGTGTGCCGCACACAGCGCATGATTTGACTTTGTGGTGGCCCCGAGATGCGGGTGCCGGCAGGGCACCCCAGGGCTCCGGGAGGTGTGGAGAGTGTCTGGGGTCTTGCTTCAGTGAGCGGAGGAGTTAAGATTAGAACCTAGGATTACCCAGTCTACAGCCTCTTGTTCCCCACCCCTCCCCGCCCTGTGCTGCTCCTGGTGGGACAGGCGCTGTGCTGTGCACCCTCTACTAGCTCCAGGCACTCCTGGTGGCTGTGTTTGGCTGGGGGCAGGAAAGGCCAGGGACAAAAGTTTACAACAAGAGGTGCCAGACTGTGATCCTTCCAGTTCCTTTTTGTCAGCAGTCTGATTTGTTTGAGGAGTAAAATTGGATCAAGTTGAACAGGCTTTCTAAAAAGTTGGGGAAAAGCAGTCCAATTGGAATTGTTATTAAAAAGAATCTCAGCAGAGAAGCCTAGTGCCGGTACTGGAAGGAGCATTACTCAGGAACCACATTGTCTGGACAGAATCTAACAGTGAGTCAGCATGTTCAAAATTGTGGGAAGGTGAATCTGTCACATGGTTGGAACCTGTGAGCTCTGCCACCAACTTCAAAGGGACCCACTGTGTGTGTGTGCATGCTTTTAAAGTTGGGCCTGTGATCAGATTTCTTTTTAACTGAGGGTTCCTTAGTTGAGGGAGAAGTTTGGGAGCCCCTCATTGAGTTCAGCTGTGTTTTAGTTTTGAGGAACATGAGGCCCTCGAACATTGAATAACCCACCCAGGCCTTTGTGGAGTTTGCTCCTGCCTGGCTGGTCTGAGGTTTATAGAAGCAGCCTTTTCAGTCTCAGGGTCACTGTTACTTTCTGATGGGCTGATGATGCTCCTAGTGCCCCCTTCACCCTTTGGGGTCACAGTGCTCAGCAGACTATTATGTATGCATGGAGAAGTGTGAGTGAAACACAGGTTTGACTTCCTGCTGCAACAAAAGCCAGACTCACAAGACAGGGGCTGGTGCAAAAGGAAGGAGGTTTTTCCACGTGCTGTGATCTGGGAGAATGGCGGACCCTTTTCTCGAAGCCTGTCTGTGCCTCTGCCGTAACAGAAGGGCTCTTCTGCAGCCAGTAGCACTTATCTCTCACTCTTTGCCACCTGAAGCCGTTCCTTTAAACCCGGGGAAGAAAGGGAAGGGAGCTCAGGATTTCCTTTTTCATTCTGCAGTGAAGTGCATGTCGGGCCACAGGTCAGAATCACTGGAAACTTACAAATACAGACTTCTGCCAATCCTTCTCCCTCCAGCCACCATCCCTAGTAAATGAATGTCATTGGGTCTGGGGTGGATCCAGGAATTCTACATTTCATCAAAGTCCCCCAGAGAGACTGAAACAGGAAAAAATAACCATAGCCTGGCATCTTTTCACCTGTTGGTGGGCTGCGCAGACGCCACATGGCTTCTGGGTATGTGCCCATTAGGTACAGCTCCAGGCCTGAGCATCTGCCTGAGCATGTCACTGACTTCTTTGGGTGGGATGGGGTGGCAGATAGGCCTGCCCCTTCAAAAGCAGGCACTTGTTCTACAGAAGCACTTGTTTCTCCCTTCTCCAGTGTACCATGCCATTTTCTTGGAAGAGCTGACCACCTTGGAGTTGGTTGAGAAGATCGCCAACCTGTACAGCATCCCCCCACAGCACATTCATCGAGTCTACCGGCAGGGGCCCACGGGCATCCACGTGGTGGTCAGCAATGAGGTGAGCCTGCCGTTAGACCGGTCCGAAGAGCTGGGGCTTTGTGCTCCAGGCAGGAGCAGTGGAACCTGCACAAGAAATGCACCCTGTGGGGTTTGGGGATGACTCAGCACAGAGGTGGCAAGCAGGTTTCATTAGGCATGCCCCTTGCTTACGGCTGCAGCGGCTGCCTGGAGTGCCGCGAAGGAGAGAGTTTGGAGGCCACGGCGGCCCTGAATAGCTATGAGGCATCCGCTCCATACTTCATCCTCATCCAGGTGCCATGCAGGACTCAGGAGCACAACTGCACCCCTGCCTGCAGGGGGCTTACAGTGAGGGCTGTAAGGAGTCAGGAGGAGGGCACTCACCCAGGGTAGGGGATGGGCCGTAGTGAGGGGTGAAATGGACTGGGGGGTTGGACAAAGAGAGGGCGTGGTTCCCGGAGAGAACAGACGCCTCCTCTGCTGAACAATGAAGGTGCCATGGCCTTCCTGGGCCTGTCACTGGCCACCCAGATGTGGCAAGGCTCAGGCCGCTGCTGGCAGAGGGCATAGGTATTGGACAGGGCTGTGCCTTCAAGTGATCTGATTCCAGAACTGTGGCCAGAACTGTGCCTTCAAGTGATCTGATTCCACTCAAGGCTAAGGAGGGGGTTTTTCAACAGGTTTGCTGACACATGTAGACATTCCTGCAAGTTGTAGAACAGAAGTCTCTAAGCTTGTTCTGTCCTGGACCTTTACTCTTAATCATAGTAAGGAGTGCCAGTATTATTGAGTGCCGACTGTGTTCTCGCTACTGTTCCAAGTTGACACATAGTGACTCATTTAATTCTGATGGCCTCCCTTGAGGTAGATGCTATGGTTTTCCCATTTCACAGGTAGGAAACTGAGACACAGAGAGGCTAAGTGCCCCAGGTCCCACAGCTGGTAAGGGGTGGAGCTGTGGTGGGAACCTTGGTAGTCCAGCTGCAGAGCCCAAGCTCCAAGACAGCAGGCTCCCCAACCTCTCCTGAAATGAACCCTTTAAAAACACAGATGGGCTGATGGGACCACAGCTGGGACCTTGAGCCCCTGCCCAGCCCCTAGCAGATCCTAAGCCAGTCGTGGGAACTCTGAAAGCCTCTGCGTAGAGGATTATAAAAGAAATGGTACAGGAATGGTGGCTGGGGAAGTAGAGAAGACGTGGGGCTCAGAGTTGGACTGGTAGCTGAGCAACCTTAGGCAAATTTACTGAACCTCTTTGAGCCTCAGCTTCCACATCTGTAAAATGGGGATATTTCATACTTATTGAGCAGGTAAGGGTAAAACGAGAAGACTGTTAGGTACCAGGAGATGCTGAATAAACAGCAAATATAACTGACAGTGCTTAGGCACTTGTTTTGGGGACCAAGTGATGGACAGATTCTTAAATCGACAGTGTATAAAATGTAAGTCTTTTAATGATCTTTATATTTATTTCATAATTGTCATAATTAGTAATAATCCTTTGCTCCTCATTACAGTCGCTGAAGCCCCTGAAATGGGAGTCTCCGTTTCAGGAGCGTTTCAGCCTTAGGTCTGCAAGGTGCTATTTCCTTCCTTTTTAATTAAAAAGTAATCAAGTGGTCAAGCAACCTCAAAGAGCAGAAGGCAAATGTGAGAGGCTGTCATCTTCCCCACTCTTTTTTCCTGGAGGAGTTTACACTGGGTTTGTGTGGTCCTGGCAGACGATCTTGTGTGCGGTGTCCGCTGTGTGCCCAGGTGTGTGGACGTGCAGGTTCTCTACCTCGCGGCAAAGACGCGCTTGTGCCTTCATCTGCAACTTGCTGTTTTTGTCCCCAGTTCAGAATTCCTTCCATATTGTTATGTGCAACTATAATGCAGCTATTTTTTTTACCCCCATTTCACAGATAAAGAAAAGGAAGCCCAGAGTTCCTAACTTTAGAATAGCCTGGAAGGTTAAACTGCCCTGAGCAATGGGTTGTCGGGTGTGGCATGGAAAACTCGTCACTTTGCAATTCAGAATGGATTTCTTCTGTGAAGACAGAAGCCAAGAATGTATGGAACCCTGGCAATTTCATGGGTCTCTAAAGGAAGTTCCTTCTCCAGCTTGCCCTGTGACCCCAAGAGTATGCAGTTAAGCAACTGAAGCAGAGAACAGAATTCAAATGCCACCTCAGCTAAATAGGCCATTCCTATTCCCCAAAGTCTCCTTGCCTCTTAACCCCAAATCAGTTGGAAACTTTTTGCTTCTTAATTGCCTGGAGCACTGGAGGAAGCCTGGCCAGCTCTCCCTGCCGGGTCTACAAGGGCACTTAATTAAACAAGGGAGTTACTGATTAAGCCTGTGTGGGTACTGCCTAAGGCTTTGCATGCACAAGTGACTGGGTGGCCCAGGGTCCTAGAAGGCACAGGCCAGCAGTGTACAGTGAGTGTGCTTCACACATCATCAGGCCCTGCAGGGTGGCGTGGGCATCTACAGGTGGGTGGATTTGCAGGATTTGGGGCAATAATCCAGAGCAGGCAATAAAATGTGCTTGCATTTTTTTAAAATTAGAAAGCAGTTTTGCTGTTGTATTGGCTAGTATGTGAGTGTGATGTGAATGTTTATGTGTATGTGTATATTTTTATAATTCTTGCCATTTATATTGTGAAAAGCAGCATACATATATAACGAGTATATAAAGTGTATGTGTGTAGTTTAAAGAATAATTGAGCCCTGGCTGGTGTAGCTCAGTGGATTGAACACTGGCCTTCGAATCAAAGGGTTGCTGGTTCGATTCCCAGTCAGGGCACGTGCCTGGGTTACAGGTCAGGTCTCCAGTAGGGGTTGAGTGAGGGGCAACCACACATTGATGTTTCTCTCCCTTTCTTCCTCCCTTCCCCTCTCTAAAAACTAAATAAATAAACCCTTAAAAAAAAAGAATAATTGAAGTACCCAATACTTGCTCTGCAGTTAACATAGTGTTATGTTAGAAGCCCCTTTGTGAGTTAATTTCATATTACTCTCCACCTGTTGGTCTGAATTTTGTATTTATCATTCCCTTGTTCCTCCTCAATGTATTGTTGAATTTTGTCTGTTTAAAAACTTTGTATAAGTGGCATAATAGAGTATTCTTCTGTGATTTTTCTGCTTTTGTTCCACATGGTATTATTAAAATTCTTTTTTTCATCCTCACCTGAGGATACGTTTCTTGATTTTAGAAGAAGGGAAGGGGGAGAGAGAAAGAAAGAAATATCGATTGGTTGCTTCCTGTATACACCCTGACTCGGGATCGAACTGGCAACTGAGGTATGTGCCCTGACCCGGATTGAACCCACAAACTTTTGGTGCACAGGATGATGCTCCAACCAGCCAAGCCCCCTGGACAGGGCTGCACGTGATAATTTTGAGATCTGTGCATGTGAGGTGTGCTGCTGTAGGTTATGGGCACTGCTGAAGTCACGGCGTAACAGTCCAGGCTCTTAGTGTCGATTGACACGGGGGCCGTTTTTGGTTTGGGGGCAGTGTTGGACATCTTTAGGTATGCTTTGTGTGTGCATGTGCAATGTATCAAGGGTGTCTGCCCAGGGGACAGATGTCATGTTTTCAGGTCTCATGGACAGTTCTGTAAAGTGGGTACACAGATTCACACTCCACCAGTAGAGACACCAGCCTCCATCACTCTACCTCCTGGTTATATTTTTTATCATCAAAACAGCCCCATTTTACATGGAGACAGGAAGAAAAAGGCTGACTTACCCGAGGTCATGAGGTAGCTAATCAAAACGAGAACTCCAGAGAGGTAGCTGGTGAGTAATTCTTCCATTCCCACCACATTTTTAGATGCAGGAAGTGGCACTCTGTTTATTCAGGGGTGGGCATCAGTAGGTTTGCAGTTGTTTGTATGGAAAAAAAAAGATGCAGGTTGTGAGTATTACAATACCTTTATCAACTCTGTGTTTCACACACTCAAAACTGTAAACCTACTTTTGCCAACCTCTGTACCTGGTCCTCCTAGGACTCTAATGGGCAGATCCTGCTAATTACCCAGGTTTTTTAAAGCACATTAATTGTCACATATTGCTACTGTACACATACACTCTCCTATACTGTGTCTGCTAGAGGGACTGGAAGACCCAGTAACCAGGACAAAGCAAAACAAAAGCAAACAAAAATTTAATCCCATATTTAAATCTAATAACATTTTGATTCCTTTCCAGGCTCCTTTTTGTCTCTTATGTTCAGTTTTTTGTTACTTAAAATTGTAATCATATTGCACATTGATTTTATATCACATTTTTGTAGCTGAAATCAAGCATCAGCATTGGCCTGCCTTTGTGCAAACATGGTGACTGTGGTCTCTGATGGCGTGTGGCGGGCTGCTGAGTGCCGGGGCTTTTCATGTGGTGCACACTCGTTGTTGAAGGGATGTGGTCTCTCTTTTGCCTTTCAGATGGTGCAGAACTTCCAAGATGAATCCTGTTTTGTCCTCAGTACCTTAAAAGGTAAAGCCCCCCTCCAACCTCCAGCTTTCCGGTTTGTTTGAAGAATGCTGGTTGCACCCCCAGGGTAATGTGTAGTGAGGTGAGCAGGGCTGGCCTGCACACTGCCCCCTCTGGAGGAGGTTCCCTGGGAATGTCCTCTGGGAAAGAGAAACAAACTTCCTGTGGACCCTAGTGCTGGAACAGGAGAGTTAGCGAGATTGGCCCCAGAAGGGACATCCTGGCTGGACAGTGTGTTCTCCACGGACTCAGTGCCAGGTAGACATAAGATGGCTTGGGTTTTTCTAAAACATGGGTCTCCAGGAAGAGTAAGCATGGAATATAGCAGCTAAGGCCAGTCTACTGGGGACCTGGGCTAGGGGCTGAGGTAGGATATAAAGGGCCCTCCTGAGGAAGGGGCCTGAGAAAGAACTTGGGAGCCAGGAGACAGGAAAGACCAACCATGACCTTCCTTAGGGGCTGGGAGAGGTGAGAGGTACAAGTCTGGCATCTGTCCGAATGAAAGCCGTCTGACTGGGTTCCAGACGCTGCATCAGGTCAGGGCCTGGGGGGTGCACCAGCCCAAGAAATACTGTTTGCCTAGAGCCTCCTTGGATGTAGGTCTTTTAGTCCTTGAGTCCAGAGCTGTGGTGGAAAGGCCCATTGTCAGAGAGAAACCCAACAAGACAGATGTGAAGGCATGTGCTGAAATGTCTGCTTTTGCCAGTGCACTGTGCTGTGCGCAGCCTTATTTTGGTGGTGTCTGGCAATATTCATGCCTTCTGTGACTCCCAGATGCCAGGGCACTGTGCCTTTCTTCCTGGAAAATGCCCAGTGTTTCCCTCTTACAGCTGAGAGCAGCGATGGCTACCACATCATCCTGAAATGTAGCATCTGAGCAGAAGTACAGCCAGCAGCTGTCTCCACCTCCCAGCCCTCTGGACCCCCTTGGACCCCCTTGGATGTAGGAATCACACCTCTGTAAGCTGCATCCTCCCCTGGCAAGCTGCAGCTAGAAGTGACCTTGCCTGGTGTGTGAAAGCCACAGACCGACAACCAGCAGAAACCCACAGATGTGGAGTCCCTGGCATGCAGAAAGCCACTGGCTCCTCTCTCCCTTCCCCCTTTAGCTTGAATGGTTCTTTGGTCTTTTTCCCAGACTTGCCACTCTAAAGAGGCAGACAGTGGGGTATCTGCTCTGAAACCCCTCCCACTCTGAGTTGGAGGCTAGTCCACTGGCTGTCTTGGTGCCTCCTGACCTCTTCTGCTGCCAGATGAAGTTCTGCCTCACCCCAACCTTCACCTTCTCTGGTGACTGAGAAGGCCCCATGGCTGAGACTGCTGACTAGATGGGGGCAATTCACCACCCGTCTTTGTTCATGTTGGTTTCCGTCCTTGGTGGCCCTGGTGAGCATCTGTCTGTGCTGTTCTTGGGTGGACTGATGGAAGTGGGGTTCATTCTGTGCCTTCTACTCCTTTTGCCTTTACCTTGTATCTAAGGATTTGCTACTACAAAGCCCAGAGCTGGGCTCATCTCTCTGCCTTGGTGGAATACCACAATATGCGTGTAGGACCCACCACGCGGACCTGAAGGCTGCTTTTAGGCATATTCTCATGAGTATATAAAGGATGAGAACAAAATGAGCTCCTTTGGTATAGTTTTGTTTCCTAGCCATCATGGGTAAGGACCAGGAAATGGTCATCCCAGTGTATGATGAGGTGACCTTGACTGTCACCATACCTGGCCCTCTTGGGTGGGCTCACCAAACCCCATTAAGGAAGATCTTGGTTACCTATGGCCAAGCCTGCCAAGTTTCCTAGGGACATCGCATTTTCTGTGAGGACCCTATTTAAATGTTGATCTTTCTTCACTTGTAGGGGATGCAGGTAGAGCGTTTTGCCTATACCGTGTGATCGAATCACCTTTCTTAGTGGCCCATGAGGATATTTGAGTATCAGTAACTGGTAGGCTGGCCTGTGTTTCCTGGGACCCAGCAATCCATGCTGGCCCAGGGCTTCAATCCTTTGCTAATTTAGGTTCATCTTCCAAAGCATGGTGAACCTATGACCACTGAGCAGGATTTTACAGTTTCTAAAGTAGAGCTTTCGGGAAGTGCAGTGCTAGGGTTAGGATGTTGAGAACTGGGTAGACCTTGTTTTACAGATGCGGAAACTGAAGCCCAGAGGGGCAAAGCCACCAGCCTGATAACACATGGTGATTAAGGTATTGACATAAATTTGTTATACAAACCGGGCCACTTCTGAGAGTGAATGGAATCTATAATAATTAGGTTGGGACTGGGGGTGTGGTATTTCAACAGAGGTCCTGATTCCTTTGCCCTTTTTGAAAGGGAAGGAGGAGCTGGTAACGGCTTTATTGAGATATAATTCATTTACCACACAATTTATTCACTTATCCATTTATGGTGTATATTTCAGTGATTTTTAGCAGATTCACAGAATGCCCATAATCAATTTCAGAGTGTTTTCAGCAGCCCCCAAAGGAACCCTGCACCCTTTACCAGTCGCTCTCCCACCTCCCCCCCATCTGCCCTAGTCCTAGGCAACCATGAACCTACTTTTCATATGGCTCTACCTGTTTTGGACAGTGCATGTATATAGAATCATACAACATATGGTCTTTTGTGAGCAGCTTCTTTGACCTGACATAATGTTTCCTGGGGCCATCCCTGTTGAATGTGTGCCAGCATGCCAGTCCTTATTCTATGGATAGGCCACGTCTTGTTCATCTGTCACTTGATGGGCACTGAGTTGTTTCTACTTTTTGGCTATTATGAATAATGCTGCTATAAGCATATTTGTACAAGTTTTTATGTACACATATGTTTTCATTTCTCTTGGAAATATACATAGGAGTGGAATTGCTAGGTCATACAGTCACTTTATATTTAACTGGAGTAACTGCCAGGCTGTTTCCCAAAGCAGCTGCACCATTTTCCACTCCCGTTTCATCGGCGTATGAGAGTTCCAGTTTCTCCACACCCTCCCTCGTCAACATGGGCTGTTAGCTGTCTGTTGGATTACAGCATCCTCGTGGGTATGAAGTGGTATCTCATGGTGGTTTTGATTTGCATTTCCCTCATGGCTAACGATGTTGAGCACTTTTGTCATGTGCTTATTGGCTTTTTGTATATCTTCATGGGAGGTATGTTTATTTTTTGCCCATTTGTAATTGGGTTACTTCTCATTTTATTATTGAGTTATATGACTCCTTCATATATTCTAGATACAGGTCCTATATCAGATACATGATTTGTAAAAATGTTCTCCCATCTTGTAGGTTGTCTTCACTTTTAAAGTTTTCAATTTGATAAGATCCAAGACTACCTATGTTTTCTTTAGCTGCTTATGTTTTTGGTGTCAAATAGAAGAAACCATTGCCTGATCTAAGGTCAAGAAGATTTATGCCTATGTTTTCTTCTAAGACATTTTATTTAGTTCTTGCAATGGCCTCTGATTCGTTTTGAGTTATTTTTTGGACAGGCATACGTAGTTTTATTGTGCTTCACGGATGTTACACGTTTTACAAACTGAAGGCAAGACCCTCCACCAGCAAAAAGATTATGACTCACTTTATTGTGGTAGTAGCTTTTTAGCAGGGGTCTGGAACCAAACCCACAGTATCTTTGAGGTGTGCCTGTATGTGGTGTGGTGTTGGGGTCTCACTTTATTCTTTTGCTTGTGTCTGTCCAGTTGTCCCAGCACCAGTTGTTGAAATAACTACTGAAATCCCCATGGAATTAATTGCCTTCGTACCTTTGATAAAGGCCCCTGATTCTTGCTGAAAAAAATTCTTTTGGACATGGGGCTGTTGTTGGTAATGCTAGCCTTTTCTTTGTTATAGCAGGCTTTCTATTCTCTTCGTGCTGTCTCCCCCTTTACCTGTCTCAGCAGTACTGGGTCATATCAGTTTCTGGTGTCCTGCAGTCTATCTTGCTGCATGTTCTAGCTTCACACACTATTCCTTGGGGAAGGTCAATGCCAATCATTTTCTTTTTGAGGAAAGTGAGTCACACAGAAGTGAAATAACTTGCTGAAGTTTACATAGAACCAGGACTAGACCTGTGGTCTTCTGATGTCCAGCCTTTCAAGTTGTCTTTAGTCACCTGTACCTGAGTGGTGTTACTACCCAGGCCAAGTGATGGCAGGCTCAATTTTAATTCTAAAAATATAGTAAGCTAATATTTTTTATTTCTTAATTCCAAAAGAGGACCTAATAAAGATGTGTTACCTTAAGTTTGCTGTTAGTAGATTCTTTCATTCTCTGAAAAGCCCACTTCTTTCTCCTCTCCTTTCCTTCTCCTAATGGTTGTAGTTAAATCTTGTAGCTTACAAAGAAGTAGAAAGTAATAAATGCCAAGAAAGAATACACATCATAATTTGTTAACAAAATGTTTTGGTCCTTCCACACGAGTCATATGAGCTAAAGCTATAGGTTTTATTGCTCTTATTATATTAAGTACAGAAAAGCTGTACCCCTTTATACTCCTGTGCATTGTCTGTCCTGTGAGCCGAGTTCAGCGTCTGGACCCACTGGGCAGGACAGCCCTCCCTGCCAGGGCTGTACCCTCTACCCCACATGTTCTAGGTTGTGGCTTCACTGTGGACCAGGATCACAAAGCTCTGTTCATTCTACTCAGGCCATTGTGTTTCTTTGCTGGGCAAGTGTCTGTTTGCAAGGTGGTGGTAACCTTTCCCTGTTTACAAGGTTGCACCTTAAAAATAAAAACATAGAGGCTTTTGAATGGGGGAACAATAAGATTTGCTGGGGGATGGGTCTTTGTGCCTTTGGAAAAAGCAAGATAGAGTGGGGACTTTGAAGTCTTGTCTTGAGGTCCTAAAGCAAAAAGGTCAGACATTGCCCTGGGGACCTCCTGCCAGGCAGCCTCAGGCCACCTTAGAGAAAGCTGGGGGGCGGGGTGAGGGGGGCTGGCATGTAGTACTTTCCTGGGAGCAGACTGGAACTGGTTGAGCAGTGTGTCACAAATTTCCAAGTCCAGTGTGGCTTCAGGGACTGGCCTGAGTAACCTAAGGTTGGAAAATGATTAACAGGTTGGTGAAAAACACGTAAAAACCTCTTTCTGTGTTGTCATTGGAGTGGAGAAAGGAAGCCCTGAGGCTCTTGGAAAAGCTGGAAAACCAGAGGCTGAGAGGTGGAGTGGAGAGAGGAGGGAGGACAGGGGACCAAGTCAAGGGCCCCGGGCCCCAAGATCCTCGTTTCCATGAGTCTCTTTGCCTCACTGGGTTTCTGTGACCGCCCTTGTAGAATAGAGCTGAGAGACCTGTGGAGCTGTGGGTGGCTCAATCACGTGGTGAAACTACGGGTGGTGGGTCTTTCCTCTTTTCCCTTCATCAGAGTCATCCCATGACCAGGTGCCGAGTGTGTGCAGCATACTGGTTGTGCACAGAGCTGCTACTGCTCTTGCTCAGCTCCTGGTGCTGCGTGCACTCCAGGGTTGCTGGCATCTCGATGTGAGGTGTAGTGTCTCAGTCATGGCTCCCGTGGCTATAAGAATCAAGTCTGGCTCACAAGTGGGCTGACTGCTCCTTCAGCACTTTAGGGTGGCCACCGGGTGTTCCCCTGTAGCCTGAGCCTGCACACAGTGTCAGCTTGCTCTGCAGCTACGTTCTAGGTGTGTGTGTACACACATACATCCCTTTCCCTGCCTCTGTGTCTGGCAGGAGTGTGGCCCTGAATACTCTCAGCTTCGCTACGTGTGATGACTGCTGTTCCCTTTAGATCTTACATGGCTCTCCTGCTTCTGGCTTTGTTGCTGAAGCTGGTTATGGTCAAGTTGCTTCATCTTGGGGGGGATCCACACCCCAAGTCCAGCTCCTCTGGGGAGGGGAGGAGTGCTGGCCACTGCCATCCTACAAGGCCTCTTTGAGCAAGACCCAGGGAGTCTTCCATACAACCACCTCATGTCCTTTTTTCTCCTCAGTTTTATACTGTGGGTGTGATGTTAGTTCAGCTGGCTGATAGGAAATGATTGCATATCTTTTCTGACCAACTTTCAGCCCCCTTCCCTTCACCCTATGGAAACAGGACGGGGAGGTTTTCAAGACAGCCCAACCTGGAGATGTGGGTGTTACAGTGAACCCCTCAGTGGGCCTGTGATGGGAAGCTGCTGGTCAGATCACCTGGCCTTTTTCTAGGGGCACACAGAGGTCCTCGAAGCCTGGACAAAGCTCTCCAGGCCTCTGCAAAGGCCCCTTGTGGGTTTTCTTTTTCCACTTTGTGGGTGACAAAAAATCCCAGGAGGAGAAAGGCAGTAGGTATCAGTGGTGGCTTTCTTGCCGATGGCCCAGGAGTGGAATTGCCATCCCATTCCCCTCTCGCCACGTAGATACCTAAAGGTGATGTCCCCCAGGAAGTCAGCTCTGACTGGTGGATTGGCTGCCCTGTGCAAGGCTGTTGATGGGGTGAAGGAGGTGAGTCTGGGGCTGACCAGCCCTGCTCTTCAGGTAGGCAGACCAGTCCCCCGCAGAGGGACATTGCCTGAGCCTCTTTCACACCCTTCGGCCTAGGAGCCCTGGGGGCTGGGCTGCAGCGAGCCACCAGAGCACAGGGGAGCCTTTTATCATAGGAAACAGTGAATCTTCATCCATAAGAAAACAATATAATTAACCCTGGCACCTAGCATCAATAGACAAATGCCCACTCATCAAGGGCTGGCCAGCTGCAGCCTGAACCAGCTCCCTGCGCAGTCTGTGACCAACTGGATGATAGGGAATACTGCCTTTAAACCACTCAAGTAAGATGTTATCCAGCACCCCTTCATAAAAATCTGTTCTTCCCATTAGCAGACCTATATTACAAAAAAGTACTCCATTATCTTATTTTGAATTTCATTAAAAATATGGAAATTCACTTTCTTTTATGCCTACGTAATACTGATTTGCTGCTTGGCTCTTAAAGATGAAAACATGAACTAATTCTTTATACACAAAGTTTGCCAACCACTGAGCTAGACCTCCATTCCTGTCTACCCCCAGTAGGTTATTTTAAAGAAAATCCAGAAAGTAGGACTTCTTAAAAATAAAAAGTATTTTGATTTGAGCTTTGAAGCAAGAGAAACTTTTCACCAAGCAGCCTTTGGATCTCCCCTGCCACGTGGTCTCACTTCCCCTGTGGCGGGGAGCCCGCCCACCCTGGTGGGGCCCACTCCAGCCTCTTGGCAAGAATGTCCAAGCCCTTTCTGCCTGCTGGCCCATTCCTGCAGACCTGACAGGTCTTTGGGTCCCTCGGTCAAGTGCTAGGGGCTGTGGGAGAGGTCTGTGTGTGGGAGGGGCTGTGCCAGTACTGACAGGCGGCCCCTCCATGTTGGGTAGTGGCCTTAGGACTGAGGTCTCTGGAACGCTCCTGTTCCAGAGGGTGTAGCCTGCACTGCACTTCCGTCTGGTACCTTGAGGACTATGCACCTCTTGCCTTCTCTGGATTCCTGCAAATGCCTCCTAATGTCTTCCTCCTATAAAGAGAACCAACCACTTGTGGCGGCCTCAGCTTGGTGATTGGGAGGGGCTGCTTTCTGGCCCTCTATAAAGGTTTCACAGGCCCAGGTTTCAGGTTTTGCCCAAATGCCAGCCTCACCGGGGGTGACTCCATGTGCTGCTGTCCCACTCTCAGCTGGGGGAAACCCCCTTCCTGTGGTTTGGCCAGCCTTGTTGGGCCCTTTGCTCCACCCCTACACCGGGCACTGCCTCCAGTGCTCCATTAGTACCAACACCAAGGGCAGCAGCTGGTGCTGACTGGCCTCTCGTGGGTCAGGTGTGCTCGGTGCTTTTGTCATTGTTTCATTTGATTCTCCCTACAGTGCAGAGAGGCCTCTGTAGCTCAGCTTCCTAGGGAGGAAATCAAGACCAAGAAATCAGATGTGCTCCATGGCCCTGTAACTACTGGTGGACCAAGCCAAGATGAGAGGCCAGGCACCTGGGTTCAGACCCCATATCAGGGCACATGCTATCCCCAAATACACAGAAGAGCTCCTATGTAACCCTGGCTTTTATACAGACTTCGTTCATCACTGGGCTCGGAGCACCTGGTGGGGAAACGGTGGGGCTTGTTAAAGACGAAGGTAGAGAAGGGCTTGTCTTGTGTGCCTTCCCCTTCCCTTGCTGGGTGTAAACTTGGTTACTTTGTTCTCTAGTGTTCATGTATTTAAAGTGATTTCTTTATTAAAATGTAACTTTCTCACCTTTTCCCAGATTGGACGAGTTTTCCTAAAGGTCATAGGAGTCTCTCTTGGGGTGGTGCTGCCCTCGGACGGGTCAGGTGGGGTGATGGTCATGGGGGGTGAGCTCGAAACAGAAGTCGTGTACTGCCATTGTTTTTGTACCTGAAATAAGGCCTATTTGCAGTTGTTACTGCACCATTGTGCAGATGAGCACCTTGTACGTGGGATCTGTGCTCAGGTCAAAATGCAAATAAAACTCGTTTGTAAGAAACCCCTGTGCCCCTACTGGTGTGGCTCAGTGGACTGAGTGCTGGCCTGCAAACCAAAGGGTTACTGGTTAGATTCCCAGTCAGAGCACATGCCTCAGTGGCTGGCCAGGTCTCCAGTAGGAGATGTGCGAGGGACAACAACATGTTGGTGTTTTTCTCCCTCTTTCCCTCCCTTCCCGTCTAAAAATAAATAAATAAAATCTTTAAAAAAATAAAAAGAAGCATCCCCTATGGCTCAGACCTCCAGGCTTTTTTTTTGTTTGTTTTGTTTATTTAGTTGTAAAACACATAGAATGTGAAAGGTACCTTCTTAACCATTTTTAGGTTTATTAACTTGAGCGTCATCAAGTACATTCATGTTGTACGGTTGTTAGCGCCACCCGTCTTCAGAACTCGTCTTCCCCAGCCAGAACTCTGTTCCCAGCAAACACCAGCTCCCCATTCCCCACCCCAGCCCTTAGCTGCTGCCATTCTACTTTGTGTCTCTGAATGTCACTGCTCTGGGTAACTCATGTAAGTGCAGCCATTCAGTATGTGTCCTTCTGTGGCTGGCTTCTTTTCATCGCATGTAATTTTTTCAAGGTTCATCCATGTGTAACATGTATCAGACCTTACTTCCTTTTTAAGGCTGAATAATATTCCATTATCTACATATAGTACTACATACATTTTGTTCATTCACTCATGAACACTATGTTGCTCCCACTTTTTGGCTGTTGTGAATAATGCTGCTATGAATGTGGGTGTACAAACCTCTGTTGGAGTCTGCATTCTCTGGGGTCTATGCCCAGTACTGGGATTGTTGGATCCTAAGCTAATACTGTTGTCTACAGAAGCTGCACCATTTTCCATTCCCACCAGGGGTGCACAAGGGTTCCAGTTCCTCCACATCCCCGCCAATGCTTTCTCTCCCCCTCCCTCTCTTTGATAGTAGCCATTCTTATGGGAGTCCTCTGGTCTTTGAAGTTTGATCATTGAGAGAGCTGTGTTGAACCTTGTGGTAGGCACATTTGCATTGCTACCACCCCAGGTCCTTCTCATCATCTAAGGCCAAGGCTGCAGTCTCACGAGCCACCCACTGGCCTCCCTAAACCGTCTGGTGTTCTCTTGAGGACCGTGGACCTCTTGGCTTTGCTCAGAAATCTTCCTACCCAGACCACACTTTTCCCAAGCTTCTCAGCCCCCCGTCCTCCATTCCAGTCAAATGTGTGTGCTGTTCCCAGGGCTGCCTCTCTTCTGTGTCTCCTGCTCACATTCTCCTCACCCTCCTGAGACCAGTGGATCCTGCTCCCCATGGCACTTTGGTAAGGTCCCCCTCTCCTCTCAACTTGCCTGTGCTCCTATGAGAAGAACAGAGAGTACACACAGGGGTGAGGGGCCAGGTCTTAGGTTGGGATCCTGGCACCGATGGATCTAAAGCAAGCTGCTTAACCTCCCCAAACCTCAGTCTTCTCATCTGTGCAGTGGGATGGGAGCACCACCTGCCTCGCAAGCTTGTGAGGCTGACATGAGACTATGGGTGTGAAGCAGTGAGTGTGGCTGTGTACAGGAGCCCCTTGGGTGGGGCTGTGAGATGGGAAACAGTGTTTTCCAGGACCCAAAAGAGAGTGACACCTAGGGGGGTCAGAGTAGACAGCTGTGTGTTGGGTCAGATAACTGATTCTCAGAGTTTCACAAAGCTATGCTTGAACAATTCCACTTCATGTTTTCTTTAGAAATGCAGGTCCTGACCTGCTAAGTCGACTTTTTGGCCCACTGGTAAGCTGTGCCCTGCATTTTGACCACACTGATGCAGGATCTCACAGACCATGGTGGGAGGAGCTCTGATTTGCTTTCTAAGTGCAATGGGAAACAGCAACGGAATGTCCTTAAACTAAAAGGGGGCAGGATGGCATTGGGTTCAAAAGCTCAGAGTTGAGCTGGGGAGCTGGTTGAGGCTGTGGAGCCATCAGCGGCTGGAGGCTGGAAGCTACCCTGTACCACCCTGCCTCTCGTCAGGCTCGGCTGCTGGCTGCCCACCTGCCTGTGTGGCCTCAGCCCCGGCGGGGAACTCAGCTCTGAGCAGGAGGCACACAAGCCCAGAGGTGTGCACCCAGAAGTGCTTTCAGCCCACCTTGGGCATGCCCCTCTGCAGGGCCCTACAGCTGCTGTACCAAGCAATCCGCAGGAGAGTGGGCCACCGGGCAAGTGAGGCCTGCTGAGGCAGGAGCAGAACCACACTCCGAAATGGTCCATTTCCAGCCACATGTGGGCGTGAAGCTTTCAGGATGAGACTCACAGGATGCCCCATTTCCAGGTAGGATGGGTGGGTGACCCTCAAACTGCATCAGGGTCACCTAAAGGGCTTGTTCAAGAGACTGCTGGGCCCCACATCCAGCGTTTCTGACTTGGTAGGTCTGAGCTCGGGCCTGAGAATTTGTATTTCTAGAAAGTTCCCAGGTGGCGCTGATGCCACTGGTGCAGAGAGCACACTTTGAGAACCATGGTACGGTAGATTGACAGCACCTTGTTCCAACTCAGCTCTGTGACCTGGGCAAGGTTATTTGACTCTTTTGAGCCTGGCTTGCCTCATCCCTGTGGGACTGACATTCATACCTACTCTGTAGGATGTTTAACAGGTTAAAGTGACTTTAAGGAGTGCAGAATGGACCTGGCACGGAGTGAGTTGGTGGGTGAGAGGCTTCCATTCATGGTTTATGGTTTACTGGGGGCCTTTGTAGCCCCTGCTGAGAACTGTCCTGGGCGGCCCACAGAGGGCTGGTAGAACACAAGGCTGGGCCCCACACGCGGGCTCTTCCATTCAGTAGGGGGCTGCAAATGTGCTGTTAGTGGGGACCACACTTTGGGAACCACTGGCCTGGAGGACTGTGTTTTCTTTCTTAAAGAAGCATCCAAGAGGAAAATGAGTCCCTTGAGACATAGACTCGGTGGGGAGATAAGAGTCGGGAGAGGATGGGGGCACTGAAGAATGTTAGGGTCAGCTGGCATGGGCACCCAGACCTGAAGAGTAGGGTCACAGTTGTGGCATCTTTCTATCAGGGGAAGCTGGTTTCAGTCATGAAACCTATCTATGGGACCCTCTGAGGAGGCCAAGGGGCCTCCTGGGCACACCCTGTGTGGCGGCTGCCAGCTCCCCACCCACTGTCTGCTCCGGGCCAGGCACAGCAGCCACACTCGCAGCCCTTCTAGGTTCTAGGAGGTTGTGGGCTGCAGTGGCCTCCATGTGATAGTCCATGTGGAAGACCAGAGAAGGTCACCAGTGGTGGAGGTGGCAGCTGCTGGGGAACTGTCTGGGCCTCTGTCCTGCGAGCTTGAGATTCCAATGTCAGATAGGACGGGCCCTACGGGGCTAAGACCAAACTTTCAGGAGGCTGAGAGAATCAGCTGAGGGCCAGCAAAGCAGAGTCTCGGGAGTGATGTGTGGGCATGTTCTCCCAATGGAGCACAGCAACTGGAAAACTGGTTTTTCCTCTGCATCTTTCTCTGATGGGAGCAGTGTGCACTTCCCAAAGAGCTCTGTCCTGTCCACACTGGGAAAGAGGCTGGGACGTCCATGCTGCAGGCACTGGCAGACACAGGCACTGAGGCTCTCCTTTTGGAGAGGATGCTTAGATCTGACAGGGACAGAACCAGGCTTAGAGAGCCCCCAGCTCAAACCCCCAGGTGAACAGGCTTTCCAAGGAAGCCTGCACCCCAGAGCTGCCCCTCCCTCAGCCCTGCCTAGTGGCAGGAGGCTTCCAGAGCTCAGCTGTGTTGAATATTAACCTGCCTTGATTGGGAGGATAAATATTTAAGCTCAATTACAAGGGAGAGGGGTTATCTGGAGAGAGCTTATTGGGCAAGAGCCGCAGTTGGCATATCTGATAATCTGAAAGGCCGACGTGGAGTAGGAAAAGGGGCTGGGCCCCAAACACGTCCAGAGTGGAGAGCAGGGATGGAGAGATACCAGCCAACTTTCTCCACCCCTTCCTTCCTTCCCCACTCCCTCCTTTCCCTTTGGACACCCAACTCACTCTTTCTTGCCTCCAAACCACAGAGCTTGCCAGTCCTGCTCTTCCCCTGAGCTCCCATGGCTCCTGTGCTTAGGCTGAGCTGTCTGTCTGTCTGCCTCTCAAGCTGGGCTTTGCTCCTAGAGAACAGGGATGGTCTGCCCAAATAATGCCACTCGAGTCCAGCCTAGGGCCTGGTGGGGAAAACCCTCTCCAGGGCTGTTTGTTGAATAAGTAAATGACAGCAATGTGTGGTGGTTAGCAAATGAGGGAATGGGGCCCAAAGACTCTAATTCAAAAGTACCTGTACTGGGCGGGAAACCAGCTGGTGTGCCTTAACTGGTGAGTTTATTAGGTTTGACCACCAAGAACAGGCTATGGAGACAGGCAAATTTGGAAGGGGGAGTAGGATTTGAGAGAAATACTAAGCATGGTGCAAAGGACATTGGGTGGGTCAGTTTGTGGAGGGTCTGGGAAGGGAACCCCCAACCTGTCAGGTACCTGTCATGTGCCAAGTGTCTTACAGACTTCTGAAGATCTGGAATATACCATTATGAAGAGATTTTTTGTTTTGTTTTGTTTTGAACTCTTATCTGCAAAAAAGCAGAGCCTCCCCAAAGAATTCGGCTGTCATAAATTCTCTGCCTCAGACTTTCACAACGGGGAAGATTAACTCCTATCAGCAGAGAGGAGACAAAAGGCGACATCACGATAAGAAATCACCCAGCAGATGTTGTCACAAACTATCATTTCTCATCTGTTCTTCTGGGGCCCATTTATCTTTCCTAAACATCCGTTGTTTTCCCAAAAGTGCCCTTCTCCCCCTCCACTTCCCCTATTCAGATGGTATATATTATTATATCCCAAATTCTAACCACCTCCTTGAGTCTTCTTTTTCTGTGAACTTCTACGTATGTGGGTGAGTAGAAATCTGTTTTTTCTCTTGCTACTGTCTTCTGTCAGTTTAATTCTCTGGCCCCTCAGGGCAGTGTGCCTTTGGGACAAGCTACATCTCATGATCACCGGCATCTCAGCCATGTCCCATCTGTGCCCTTGGGTCTGGGCAAAGGGGCAAACCAGAACCACCTCCCCGTTCCTAGAATAGCACCAGAGTCCCCACCTGCCATTGGCTTCCCTGGGAGAACAAAGGTGGTGGTGGTGGTAGGGGCACCGCCAGGGGCCAGCTTGGTAAGTCTTCGGTTCGGAGCCCAGCCCCCGCCAGGCCCATTTGTGGTCACTGAGTGAGCTTCTTTCCTACAACTGCAAATGTCCCTCTGTTGCCCTCTGGAATGTGTGCCCAGGAAAAGAAACCCATCCCCAGGTCCCTGCACGTGCAGCTCTTCCCCTGGGCCCCCTTCCTCGGGGGCCCCACAGTTATCTCAGCACCCCTACCTGCTCAGGGTGTCTTCTACACAGCCCCAGGCAGGCCTCAGAGATGGCACCTTTTGCTGAGTCAGTTTAATGTTTGCACAAACTGGAAGGTATTGAAGAATGTTTGAGTCAGGCCATCTGAAAGTCTCCTGTTTTAGGGGCAGTTGGGCCTGGGCATTCCCTGGTATATAAACATCATTCCGGCAAACCACTGCTGCTGGCCTGTTGGCCATGAGCCTCAGGCAGAATTCAGCATTTGCCTTTGGGCTGTAAGAGCACCCCAATGGTGTCAGGACCCAGGGGTGGAGGCCCAAACTACCCTCTAGGGGGCCAGAGCTCTGCAAGGGGTCCTGAGGGACCCACCAGACTCCTGGGCCTTGCAGCCTTGACTGAATTGCCCATTTGGAAGCTTGCTGCTCCCTGTAGCCCTGCTGCCCCTGATGGCAATGGCCTCTGTGTTCTGACATTAATCTGACTCTGGGAAAGAGGTCATGAGGGCCCTGGGCAGAGCCATGTGTTCTGAGTAGTGTTTTGGGTACCATGTTTTAAT